GCAATGGTCGCCCTGCCGATATTTTTTGTCACGGGGTCACGCCGCGTGCGAGGCCATGACAAACAAGTTATCATTCTTTTATCACTCTGCCTCAACTGAGAATAAATCAAAATCATATAGAGAGACCAAGACGCGGCGAATGGACACGGAATAGTGGGCCGAAAACAACTCGAGCAACATATCGATACACGGCCAAAAAGGCGATAGGGGAGATCCCAGTCGAGGTCCAAAGTATTAGACATGATTCATAGCCGAAAACAGAATGGCGAAAGATAAAAGATAAAAGTCGACAGCCATCCCCTCCAGCACTCGGCCGCCCCGGTCGGGCTAACGAGAGAAATTCCGGAATCTTTGTTACTGCTTCGAAAGGCCGGCGTGACCGGACTAAGGAAAGCTTCACAGTGTTCGCAGGACCAGAACATGGCTCCTGCCAGGCCAACCAACTGCCATCTTCATTCTCGACGAAATAAACAGGCTAACCCGCACTAGGCCTTGGTAGCTCGCATCCCTGGTGCTCTCCCCTCCAGCTAACCGGCGGTTATTCTTCCAATCTGACTCCGTCTCCGGTTCTCCTTCCCTCACGTGACACACAACTTTGGAGCCCAGGCATCTCCCTCTCTCTGTCTCGATTTCATCTAACTCATTCTCTATCTTCCCTCGCCCTCCCTTTCCCACGCAGATTTTCTCTCTCTCTCGTATTTGAAGCTTCATTATCATTAAGCTCTCTAGACAGAATGTTCTCCCGGCGGTGCCAAAGTCTGTTCAGTTCCCGACGGGAAGTGCCCGAAGCTGTCACCGCCACAAATCTTGCTATTGGAGATATCTCTCCAGGCGCTCATTTTCCCCCTACTTCCTACTTGAAACACATTATCCTTTTTCTTCCAGAATGTGTGTGTGTGTGTGTGTGAGAGAGAGAGAGAAACAGCGAGAGGGAAAGAGAGAGACAGGGAGAGGGAGAGAAGAGAGGAGAAGGAGAGGGAGAGGGAGAGGAGAGGAGAGGAGAGGGGAGAGGGGGAGGGGGAAAGGGAAGGGAAAGGGAAAGGAAAGGAGAGAGAGGAGAGAGAGAGAGAGAGAGAGAGAGAGAGAGAGAGAGAGAGAGAGAGAGAGAGAGAGAGAGAGAGAGGAGAGAGGGGGGGGGGGCAGGAGGTACGGGGACGACCAAGAGGGAGAGGGAACCCACGTCGTAAGAGGTCGTCCGAGTCAAAGGTGAAAGGGTATAACACGTGCAAGAGAATAGTTCCTCGAAGGACTGTAAACGTGACATAAAATTAATCATGCGTGCATATCTCGTTCGTTATATTTGTTGACTACCATTGTTATCCAACACATAACTGCGTGATAAGGCCGTTCGGTTCCAAAGAAAGTTAGTCTACTGTTTGGCGATTATTCAACTTTTTCATTGCTTATCTCAAAGACTGGGGTGGAATGGTAAAGTTGTTTTCATTATGTTTTCCCGAAGCACCTAAAAGCAAACAAACCAGCCAGCGAGGCCCAGTTGGCTCGCCTCCCAAACGGTGTATGGGCGGACAGGCGGCGGGCGAAGGGGACTATCCACAATTACGGTAGACGGGCCGCGCCACGTGACTCCTCACGTGAGCCCATTGACCCCGCGAGGAATGCGAGAGCGCTTTTTCGGTGCTTGGGGGGTGCATCTCGCAGGCAAATGTTAATGCCTACAGGTATGGAGCCAAATGCGAAGATGTTTGGTGCTTAGTAGCATCATGTGCATGGAAACCCACGTGCGGCGGCCAGGTCACGTGTGCCGCGCCCAACCTCACGCTGCTTTGCCATATTTCAGCTACGTTGCCAAATCGTAACCCATATAATGAAAATGGAAAGTGACAACTTTAATGATTAACCTAAGTTGATGTTCATTCGTGATACAGTAAATTGATAACTATATATTAAAAACGAAGGGTGTTAAGCTGCGAAAAAATAAACACATTTCTTAGGTTTGAACTGCAACCATAGCGACCTCTGGCAACTTCCCGAGGCCACAGATACCAGGTGATTTGGCAAGATGAGGATACTAGAGTTTATCCTCGATTTTAATTTATTGTGATTTATCCACCGCCTTCATATGAACTCAATCCAAGTGGCAACGAAGACGAAAGGGAACAGCAGCATCTGCAAGTGCGTTGTTTTCGTCCCCGAGTTTTATCAGAGGGAAAGTGTAGGTTTTGGTCGGGCGGTCTCAGAGTGTGGAGCTGCACGTGACCAAGTCCCACACGCACACACGTACACACATACACAAACGCACACTCTGGGTCTCTACACATACAGACACGCGCGCACGCCCATTGCTGCTTCAGTCGCTTTCCACACGTCTTGGTGGAAACATGGGAGACTTTATCTCTTACAATGTTAACCTGTTGTGGTTTCAAGAGTAAGTGAATCCTCACAAGAAAGATATTTAGAGACAGTGAAATACGTGATTATTTTCTTGGTGTTTACTTTTGATAAGCAACTTGTGTATGTATACTTTGAAGCAATCAGTTTTATTAATGCTTTTCCTCAGAAAAGTGAATGAAAAGGATTATTAATAAAAATTGGGAATTTCATTTTCAACAAAATACTTACAATTGCCTTTGCTTTGAAAAGGATCTAATGAAACTATTCCAGTTTGAAAACGTGATAGTAGAGTAAGTTTCGAAGAATCCCAGTCAGCTGAAAGAAAAAATAGACCACACATTTGGCCATACCAGTCCCGTGTTGGGGAATTGCATATAGAAGCGTGTCGCGCGACTAAAAGCAGCGTCCGCCAGCGTGTGCCAAGGACCCCGAACCTCGGCCTCGATGTCCTCGTGACGTGCTCTGTTTGCAAAGTGCACTGGTCTACGCCCAGAGAAAACAAGCAATACAGAATAAAGAGCGTGGATGCTGTGGAAAGTGTGTGTGCCTAAGCAGGAGTGATATCCTTTCTGAGACCGCTGCCTAGTTGAGGCATGGTAGTGTAGTCGCCGAAGTAGTGTTTGGATGTTTCCGTGTGACGGCTTGACCTCCAGTGGCGGGCAGCGGTTATCGCTCCCTCCCCGGGCGAGCCTCGGCGCCTTCACTCCCCCCAAGCACTTTGCCCATCACCAACTATCTCCTCTTTGGGACCAAGGCTAAACGAACGTCGAACTGAGGACAGCGGCCGCCACCCTCTCTCGCGCCCCCCCTGGTGATGGCGGCGGCGGTGAAGGAGGAACCTGAGGCCCCATACAGCCTCTCTCTTCTACTCGGCGATCGCAACCCCAGGTGCAGACCCATGACAGCTTCCGCTCTCGGTGGGCCTCCGCCGACGCCCCAGCATCAGCAGAACATCCATCCCCAGACCCCGAATTCCATTCAGCAGCAAAACACGCCTCATCAGCAACAAAATCAGCAGCAACAACAGAATCAACAACAGCAGCAACAACAACAACAACAACAACAAACAGCAGCACATCAGCAACAACAGCAGCCAGCAGCAGCAAGCAGCAGCAGCAGCAGCAGCAGCAATTACCAATGACGGGTGGGCCATTCGAACGAGTGCCAGCCCATTCGCCTTCAGCCATGGCCCCATCGGAGGCCTCCAAGAGGCATCCCTCTCCCAATAAACCTCCAGCTAATGTAAGTTTCGTCTCACTTCCTACTTGGACAAAATCCTGCTTTATTTTTATAATTTTATAAACTGAATGGTAACTATGAAAGTTAGATACTGCATTAATTACGTTACTGCATACTTAGTATGCGAAAAACTTCAAGGGGCATCACAGAGAATTATAAATACATGTGCATACACACGCATACACCCCATCTGTGCAGAGACTTAATCTTTTGCCTTCTAAAACGAAAAGTTGTAAGATGTGAAGTAATACTTCTTGCATTTAAGCTCAGAGGGAGATTAGTTGGTAGC